TCTCTCTTCTCTTGCGCCTGCTGACCACCTCCTCTCCCTCCTTCTCTCCCTCACGTCCATGCGTTGCGCGCGCGCCCGCCACCACCACCACCACCGCCGCCGCCGCCGCCACCGCCGCCGTCCGCCGTCCGCCGTCCGCCGCCGCTGCCGCTGCCGCGCGCAGTGTTTGACTTTTTCAACAATCTCAATCAGTTCTACGGCGTCGTGACGGAGTTTTGCACGCTGCAGAACAACCCTACCATGAGTGCTGGCGTTGGGTGAGTAGCAACGAGAGAGAGAGAGAGAGAGAGAGGCGCAGGGAGAGAGGGTCGGGAGGGGGAGGGGGAGGTGGAGGTGGAGAGCTGGGCGAGGTGGGCGAGAGCGGGGATGGGAGTGCGATGAGAGGAGTGTGCACGCATGGGGTTGGTGACAGCCCCTGCGGAGAAGGCGACAGGGCCGTGGGAGAGAGGCGCGCCTCGAGTCTTAGGGCCGAGGACATGGGGCGCTATAGGAAGGCCACTGCGTGCTACCCTTGCGAGACCCCGAGGCATCCCCATTCACGTTGTCGCTGCGCTGCGAGGCCATGTCTTTTGCCCCCGGGAGAGCGTGAGATACCTCGGGGCAACGTCGTCAATGTCGACCTAGCTGGTGCACGCTGCCTCCTTGTGGGGGCGCACAAAGCGTGCACTGTTCTTGCCTGGTTCTACATTTGCCCTTGCCCCCTTTTACTGATCTCTCGCTCTGGTCCCCCGCGCGCGCGTGCGTGCGTGCGTTGTGCAAAAAAAAAAAAGACTCGACTATACATGGATCGACCAGAACCGCAAGCAGGTCAAGTTGCCGGCGCCGCAGTACATCGACTACGTCATGACGTGGGTCGGCGGCCTGCTGTCTGACGAGGCTACGTTTCCCACCAAGGCCTGTGCGTGGTGGCCCTTCTTCCCCTCTTTGCCCTGCCACACATCAAGCTGATGCCCCTCTTTCCTCTCTTTCGCTCGCCCTCGTGCGGCAAAAAAAAAAAACCAAAAAAAAAAAACCACAACAGCACGCGAGTTTCCCCCAACGTTCTCCACCACCTCCAAGCACATCTACAAGCAGCTGCTGCGCGTCTACGCCCACATCTACCACGCCCAGTTTGCCGCGCTCGTGCATCTCTGCTGCGAGGGCCACTTCAACAGTCTCTTTGCCCACTTCATCGCGTTCGGCGCCGAGTTTGGCCTCTTCAGCTTCCGCGAGTTCAAGGGCCCACAGGGCGCGCCATACCCGGGCGTGTGCGACTTGATTGAGAAATGGGTCGAGATGGGAGTGCTGGGAGACGAGGTGCTGAGGTGAGAAACGGCAGCGTTTGAACGAAACGGTGCCGTCAAGGTACGGCAAGAGCTTCCCGTACGGCGCCCACTTCTCTTTCGGCCCACACGACCCCACATCGAACGCCCCCCCCCCCCCCCCCCCCCCCCCCCCCTCCGCGCTTTCCGCACGCTGGGATTGGGCAATGCCACTCCTCGGGGGCGCGCCGCTCCCGTTCGCGTTTTCCCTCGTTTCTGGCGCGCGCCATCGCAGCCTCTCTCTCTCTCTCTCCCTCTCTCTCTCTCTCTCGCCTCAGCCGCCTGGTTGCCCCAATAAAGGCTGACCCATGCCGTCGCCCGCACAGGTATCCAACGATGCATCTGGCGCTCGAGTTCAAGCGTGCCTTGCCTTACAACGAGGCCCTGCTGCGCGCCGGCGTCTTCATGCGCGGACGCTTCCTCGAGGTATGTGTCTCTCCTCTCTCTCTCTCTCTCCTTTTCCGCTCCCTGTGCGCCTTTCTGCGCTCCTTTGTGTGCGCCGCCGCCCCCCCC